TCCTTGTTAAACAACTTCCAAACTGATTTAAATGCCACAGTTCCAGCAGCAAACCCAACACCAGCACTGGCCACACCACACAGACCACAGAAAATTATTGGATCCATTCCTCTGAAAATGCAAAAGAAACAACATGACTCTCCAATATGGACCTTCATTTTGTACAAAATTGTAAATGGAGTGCTGTGATGTATGAAAACGAGTTCTTACTTACTTTAAGGTATTTTAACACCTTAAACCCTACGAGTGACCAGCATCTAATTTCTCCTTACAGGAATACTGCTAAATCACTGACTGAGATCATGAGAATAAAGGAAATGATCGCCAGCCTTAGAAGCTTTGATTGTAAAACAAATTCTCCTTGTCAGAACCAAAAGAAATATAGAGAGAAGATTATAGAGAATATGGATGCTGATGTTAGAATATAAGGATTAAAGAGAACTTTACATACAATATCGGTTCAATCTGCTCCGGAGTAGCATCGAAGATATTTGGGAACATGTAAGCAGTGATGGTGCTCGATGCTAACAGAAATGTTACACCAATCGGCAAACCAGCTAGCTTCTGCTTGGTGCGTAGCTTTCTTCTCAGCTGCTGGAACTCCTCAAATGATAGCTGGAATCTTTTCGGCGTGATGTTTTGACCGCTGAACAACGGACTTCTTTTGATAGTTGGAGAACGTTCTTTCAAAGTGTCAGGAACACTTTGAGAAGAGCTCTCACAATATGGACGATTCAGTATAGCCATACATGGTATACTGGATTTGAAACCTGTGCGGAGAACGACTAGAGTTCTTTTTCCACTGAAAAAGTTACGAAAATTTCTCACGCTAACGGCCGCCATCTTGGAAAACAAAATTACCCACAACTCCTCGTATCTTCAAAGTAGGGCTGCTGAAAAATAATCGTGGACTCATTTTCCCAGGACAGAGAAGGAAGTAGACATAAAGATTTCCAAGGAGGGGTATCGTTCAACTTTCGAGCCAAAGAAAATGGTCCGATGGCTACCGTTAGAATCAAATCCAGATGTAAGACTAAGTCTTATGTGTTCTCTATGTGATTTTTTTTCTAAATGATGTGAATAGATCCTCTTAATTAACTTGACTTTACGTTATTCATTCATTTTGCAAATTGCTGATTTCCTGTCATTCAAATTACTTCAAAGGTTATGAACAAGGTTAGTGTACGTTAAATTGGTTCCTTACGTGATATAGCTTAAGTGATATGGAAACTTAGCTGGATAAATTTTTTAGTGTGAGAAAACCTTGCGTTGGTCAATCATGAGAAAATTCCACTGTTGTTGTCTAAATATTCATACAAACCAGAGTTGTAACTATATATGTGTGCAAATATGTTAGATAGTCACGCATTTAGTCAAGCTACTTCAAATAACTTATAAATGTTAAAATACATTGATGATCCTGGTTAAAAAAGAATTGGTTTCTCAGCCCAGCCCTGTCAAAAATTTCAGTTTCAAACGAAAATATTTTCAGTTTCAAAGAAAAGTTACAAACTAAAGCCATTGCCATAAATTGGCAAGATTTCCATATAACCCCATGCTTCATTAAGCATACAGTTCATAGATAAAAAGAACAATTATAGCAAAAACATAAAATGGCTCTGTTTTAGAATAGTTTTGGGTGGTACAGAAATCTTTCCTGGCTTATCCCCACAGGTAGAACCTGTAATTGCGAGTAAGAATGATATGGGTGCTTAATTAACTGGAAACTATAAATACCATACAGTAGAATAGTACTCATCATGTGTGCTGATTGACTGGTGCAGAAGCAATTACCAAGTACTATTCACCTCCCAGCAGCCAAAGAGACAAAATTGCATGTCGGCAGTTTGATTTCCTACCATTTTTTGGTACATTGACAGAAATAAGTTAGTTTTTTCGGTTTCTGTGAAGTACAGTTATTCACCTCTACTTTGGTGAATAATTGTTAACCCTTTTACTCCAATAAGTGACCAAGAGAGAATTTCTCCTTACAATATTAATACAATTTCAACCAGATAAGTGATGAGAATAAAGAAAAATATCAATTTGGGGATAATTAGTTGATCCAATACTAAATTCTCTGAACTAACATTATGAGAATTGTATGGTTGACAGTAAGGAGAACAACAAATTTGATCTGGGAGTTAAAGGGTTAATTATCATCTAACAATTGTTGTTTATGAACAGTTTGTCGTAAATCTTGGTTTAAAGCCAACATGGAGCTTTGTTGATGTTTTTGGACTTGATCCTGAGTTATTGGCCATGTTACCTCAGCCAACATGTGCATTGCTTCTTCTTTTTCCAACAAGTGATAAGGTAACATTTAGCTCTTTAATACCAAAGAGAGACCAGCATCTAATTTCTCCCTACCTTAATGCTGCAGAATCATTCATTTACTCATAACAGTGTCTAGAATCTAATTTCTCCTTACAATATAACCCCTGAATCAAACATTAAGGTCATGAGAATAAATGAAATGATCACCAACGAAAGAAGCTCTACATTGCTAACCAAATTCTCCTTGTCAGCACCTTAGGAAATGTATAGAGAACAGTATGGAGAATATGCATACTGACGTTAGGGTATGAAGGGTTAAGAACATTAGAATAAAGGAAATAACTGCCAACTTATGAAAGCAAGCCTTGATTGTTAAATGAATTCTCCTTATCAGTACCAAAGGAAACATAAAGAGAAAAGGGATCAATATCAGTATCTGGGAAACTGCCCACCTACCCCTCCCCTAACTCAACAACAGTCAATTGACAACAACTTAAGGTTAATGTTGGGTTAGGGGAGGGGTAGGTAGGCAGCTGCCCAGATACTAATATTGATCGGAGAAAAGTACTGAGAATATGGATACTGATGTTAGGATGTTAAGGGTTGATATGTCTATATACCCATCCATTTATTACCTCTATCTCTCTTTCATCTTCAACTAATAAGTGTCCTCCATGATTATGTGGGATTTGAACCTCTTTCTTGAGATAACTAACATTATTATACATTAGACTTTTATTGAAAAATCTGTTTGGTCGAGAGCATGCAATCAATTATACAGAAGAGTGCGATTTTGACATGATAACACAATATCTGCAGCAGATATTGCATTTATCATGTCAAATTTTAAGTCTGCCTAGTTTCCAAACCCCTTGTCCATATAGTGTTCTCAAACTTTTGCAAACTCAGAGAGGTGTCTTCTTTTTAAAAAAATTATTGAACTTGCCTCAGTCCTAAGCTTCAGCAGATAACTCAGACCTTGGTTTTGATAATTCATGATATCATGCACAACCTTATCCAATACTTGCTTTTTAATATCAAAAAGGGAAAAATTGGAACCAGGAAATATATGGTGAAAGCTTTTTTCTATTGTCTTTTTTCTTTTTTTTTAAGTATCATGAATATAAGACAGAGCAAGAAGAGAAAGTCAAGGAACATGGCCAGGTAGAACTATTTATATTTTTATCATGATTTACAAGGCTGAGGAAGGATACTCTTGCACTCATTCCTCCAATATGCTTCCTTGGAGGTTAATTTTTTTGCTAACCTTTCTTAAAGGGAGCTGTATAGGTAGGTAAAACAATGTAACATTGAAAACCAAAAATTTAAACTAAGTTGCCCTTTTTCACATGTCTCAGTCCACTGTTTGCTCACCTTTAAAGTCTTTTCTTTTTGTACCATTTCATTGCTGGATACAAAGGGTCTTAAAGATAACTGTTGTGGATTGCTGGTCAATTATGAATTGCATATACCCCAGTACTTCAAATTTGTGAAAATTGGCATTATTTTTTGCTTGAACTGCACAGAAGATACATGTCTTTAGACAGTCATGCTTCAAAATGAGAGCATGACAGTTTTACAAGTTCAAGGCTTTTCAAAGTTGCCATTCCATAGTCAAAAATCAGAAAATGGTCGCCAGAAATAGTAAACCCCACACTCGCACAAACCAGGAGAGACAGGCACCAGTACAGCTCTAATGCAATTCGGAATGGTAATCTCACTTTAACTTTTGGTTTGCAAAATTAAAAATTTATGAATGAAAATAGTTCACTTGATACTGAACTAGCAAACACAGTTAGCCAATTTGGCTACATCTGCTTAACCCTTTAACTCCCAGAAGTGATTGACATGTAAATTCTCCCTGTGCTACCTATACATTGTCCTGCACATGGTAATGAGAATACTAAAATTTATCAAGTTAAAATTGTTATCTTATTCCAATTCTAAATTCTTGTAACTAATTTAAAAGGAATATGAAGCAGATCATGGGAGTTAAATGGTTAAGTGGTAACCAAAATGGTGGCAGCACTGAGGGTTGCAGGATTAAAGTTAGATTATCACATTAGGGAACCCATTTAGGTAGTATACAGGAACTTATTTGTGGAATGTATGCATTACAGACTGGAATAATTTTCTTGAGAAAAAAACTGGTTCATTTTACTGCAGGAGGTGAGCCCTAATTTGTTCTTCATGAAGCAGACAATTGGCAATGCATGTGGAACAGTGGCTATAATACATTCCATTGCCAACAACACAGATGTACTACAGCTGGGTGAGTTACATATTGGAGCTGTAAATAATTGTGAAAATTAATGATCTATCATTGGAGTTTATTAAAACCTTTTAGCCTGGATAAGTGTGACTGGCCTCTAATTTCTCCTCACAGTATCTTCCTTGAATCAAATGTAAAGGTCCTGAGAATATATGAAATAATGACTGATCTAAGAAGCTCCTGATTGTCAAACAAATTCTTGTTGTCTGTACCTTAGGAAATGTAAAGAGAAAAGTGTGGAGTATTTGAATACTGATGTTAAGGGGAAAAAAGATTCCTGCTATTAAGTCCACATCTAATAAAGAAATAAACCTAGTATAAGGAAGATGCACATATCACAATAAAATAATGTAAATTGAGAGGCAGACTGCTATCGTGGATCCTTAAGGTTTTCAAAGCAGTATGTTATTACTGTGTTATTTCCATTTTTTCTTGACAGACGAGGGCTTTCTCAAGAAATTTATAGACTCTACCAAATCACTGTCTCCAGATGAAAAAGGAGAACGGCTCGAAAGTGATGAGGTATGAGATTTTCTTTCCCTGGTAAAGGGAAACCATTTTGGTCATAGGTGCGGAAAACAAATGTTCTGCCACACATTGCTTCCATTCAAGCAAATTTTTATTGTGATGTTACTTTCTTTCCAGTTTTAGAGACCAATTATTTTTTATTTTATCACAGAACATCTGTGAAGCGCATGCAGCTTGTGCTCAGGAAGGACAAACAGAGGTTAGAGATATAACAATTGAAGGTTCTTGTGCATGAATTTTGAAAAACTGATTGAAATATGAACTGCAACAAATATTTGCATTGGTGATTACATTATGACAAGAATCAATTGCAATATAGTTTGATTTTGACATTCTGTTTGCAGACCCCATCTGTTGATGATCGTGTTGATCTTCATTTTGTAGCCATTGTTCACAGAGATGGTTGTTTATATGAGCTAGGTGAGTGACTAACTAAGTGAGCTTTCATTGTACTTGATAATGCCAGCTTTATTGAACTGGCCTTCTAATATTTGGGATAGGTTTGGCAGAAACATTTTTCCTATAACCCCTTACTATTCTAAAACAAAGCCATAATCCCAAAGGCACACGACTGCTTTTGCCATTGTTTTCTCTCTCCAAAAATGTATGCAAAATGAAGTATGGGACTGAGCTGTAATCTTGCCCAGGTATATGCTGGTGTGAAGTAGGAAGGTTCAAATATCAGATTTTACCATACATATCCTGGAATTGACATCAAAATAACCAGTGTATAGCTTGCTTTTTGTAGGAAAGAAGCAGAGGCATGAATTCAAAATGAATTCTGCCTCTGGCTTTG